CCCACGCCACGCTGACATAAACCGGGATGTCACAAGAATGTAGAAGCCTAGATGGTGCGGAGCTTTGGGGACCCTTTTTACATCGTTCACGGCTAGGTTTGGATCCTAAAACCCGATAGGGCTAAGTACGTACAATCAGGGCTGACCGTGTATGCCAGTTCGGACGAACCGTTCTGCCTTGAAGGAATTGTTGGCGGAGCATTGGTGGTTAGTCAAAGCGAGCTAGGATAACCAAAAGGACGGCGCCGTTGTCGGCAATTCCTACTTAGCTGCCTTGAGGTGCCGTGAGCCGACGTCCCTCCCGACGCCCTACGGCAAACACCGTCACGACAACCGATAAATAGCCATTAAATCTTCTAGTGAGCAGCCTTGCTGTCACCTTTTCTTCAAAGATCCATCCTAATCGGTACGTGCCTAGTGAGATACTCCGACCACGTAGGCAGCGTGCGCTTGTACGGGTTACCCTCAGTCGTGAGCTGCAGGTCCTCAATCGCGCTTCCCCATTTGACCAGCTCAGCTTCACCAAACGCCGTCTGCATAATTGCCAGCCCGAAACCCATGCCGCTGTTGGAGTGCACGCCGACCGGGAGGGTGATCATCGGGTATCCTGCCTGTGCAGCTATCTGATACGACTGGCCCACGTCGGGAGGAACGAGAAGCCCTGACAATTTCGTTCCGTTGGTGGAAGTGAGGGCCGCGTCGATGCCGTCTCTCGTGGAGCGTTGTGTGAACTCTAATGCTTGGTTGTAGGTCTCATCTTTGATGCCTTTTGACTCGAGGGACGCAAGGAAGCCATCTTGACCAGAGTAGAATGCGGGAAGGCCCAGTGGCCAGGGATTTCCGCCCTCAGTCCCGTCGTTATCGTAATTGAATTGGACGATGTCTTCGATGGAGCGGATGTTGGTGTTTTCTAGCTCAGAGAGGTAGGTGTTGATGTTGTTGTAGAAGTCAACCTTGACAACAGTATACTCAGACTCATTTGCGTAGCCCCGGGTGGTTCCGTAATCCCAATTCCAACCGTCTGGACTCACAATGCGCTCGTAGTCGGTAATTTCCGTGTTGTTGATTATCGTCGCTCCAGCGGAAGTCAAGAGGTCAAGCATTGCTACGAGAATGCCTCTTTGCTCGTCATCAGTGTAGACCCAGAAACTATTCCAAGGTATGCCAAATATGGCGCCATTCAGGCTGTCTTTCGTAGACAGAAATTGGGTGTATCCCTTTTCGGGTGTTCTCCCTTCTTGAGCAAAGGTGTAATTGTCGCGGTGATCCACGCCATAGATGGAGTCAAAAGCATATACCGCGTCCTTGACGGTACGTCCAAAGGTTCCGACAGTATCTTGATGCTCACTTTCCGGCACAACCCTGTTCAAGTTAGCACACTGGTAATTCTCACATGCAGGGTTGCGAAGTTGCCCTACCCAGCTCTCGAGGTGAGACCAACAGTCGGCTTAAACCCAACAACACAGTTCCGCATAGCAGGATTGATCACGCTCCCGTCCGTCTCGGTGCCAAGCGAGAACGCAATCGCGTTCGCAGCAACGCCCACCGCACTCCCCGTGCTGCTGCCCCCAGGCGTGAGAGTCAGGTTATACGGGCTCCGACACTGCCCTCCGCGCGCAGAATAACCTTCGGAGTAGTTATTGCTACGCATATCAGCCCACTCGCTGAGCGCCGCTTTGCCGAGCAGGACGGCGCCGGCATCTCGCAGACGGGCCACCACGTGGGCATCGCGCGGGACGATACTCCCCATCAGAGCCCAGCTGCCGGCTGTGGTCTCCATGTTGTCCTTGGTTGCGATGTTGTCTTTGACTGTGAAGGGGATTCCGTGGAGTGGGCCGCGGACTTTTCCGGCTTTTCGCTCGGCGTCCATCTGAGCTGCGATTTGGAAGACGTCTGGGTTGACTTGAAGGATTGAGCTGTTTTTCATTAACATACAGAGTTACGCCAAGTTGGGTGTTGGCACATCTTACTGCACGTATTCCTGTGTCTGGTACGTCCGCTGCAAGTAGCAGGCTACCAGCTGCTGAGAAGTTACCGTGCCAGCCTCCATAGCCGCCTTCATCTGGTCAATGGTGGCCTCGTGCAGGATGAAGTTCCCACATGGCGGCATGGGAAAGAGATCCGCGGTGCCGGCATTTTCGAGCAGAGGGAATACCGAAGGGGACTCTATGCTGGAATTCCTGGGCCACGCATAGTCGGCGCCACAGATGAGCGAAGCATGAAAGGCCGTCAAGACAGCAGCAGACCAACGCATCTTGACTTCACTCGGTCAGACCGGACGTTATGATGATATCCCGTCTCGGTGTGGGCGGTTACCAAAAGACGACGCAGCTGAAAAGGGAAGACACCGCTTCTTTAAAGACTCACGCGTCAGCTGATAAGCACAGCACGAGGTTCCCCGCGGTGAGCTGCAGATGCGGTACATGTTAGATTGCAGCGGGACCTCGATTTCCAGCTTTGTGGAATTGGTTGGCTGCTGCTTTCCGGGGCGACCCGCCTGCAGTGGAGGGTTGCAGAATGTCTTATCAGTTGTTGCTGCTTGCCTTGAAGGGGAAATTCGGCACTAGGCGAGTGCAAATAAGGAAATACAAGAATCATGATAATGCACTTAGTCATATGTATATATATGATCGGGGAAAAAATGAGAGCTCCAGTTGTAAACATATGAGAACTCGCCCTATGCAAGTCTACTATCGACATAGAGACATTCAGCGTTCCTGTGTCAGCTGCCACCACCAGGACGGTCGCGCTAAGCTCGATTAGCCCGATTTAAGTAGAAAAGTGAGACGAAGGCTGGAGTTCTGATCCCTTTAAAGCCACTCATTGGGTGTTGTCTGGGGCGGGCTGGGGATTCTGGCTCTTGGGAGCTGAAGCGCTGCGACAGGGAGTCGACAACCTTACAACAAGCTGCCCTATCAGACAGCAGTAAACCAGCCAATGAAGTTACACAGACGTTCTGCTCAGTGAAGTCCAGCTTCAACCCGGGCAAATGGCGCCACACGCGCTAAAGAGGTTGCGTATTCGTCTATTTCTTGGCTTGCTGATGGTGTCCTGCTGTGCCGTCTTGAATGCCTCAATTGGGATACCTTAATCATATGAACATATATTAGTCAGAAGCGTCTGATGAAATCTCCTTTCTCATGTCTTGAATATCCGTACTGACACCATCTGAAACACTTGTCCTCCTTCAGCATCATCAGCACCAACATCATCCCCTCGAGTGAAGGACGACACTAGACACCCGTAATGATACAACCTATTGAAACTCGAGAAGGCCCAGACCTTTCCATTCACCTGCTCGATCCCACCACGCCGCTGTACCCCGGCTCCGTCATCCGCGGCCACGTTACCCGTAAAACGCACATCGTCGCCGCCTCCGCTACCGTCCGCATATGTCTCATCGGCGACTCCGCCGCCCGGCTTCAAGTACAACAAGGCAGATCCGTGGTCATACTCGGTGCGGGCTTCGAGTTCTGGGGCCGCAACGCCGTGTCTCAAGTCATTCACCGGGGCCCGGTGCACATCGCACCAGACTCCGACACCGCGTCGCAGATCTGGCCCTTTTCGCTGGTGATACCGAAGCACACGGATGGCAAAGCCCTGAATTCAGGGCTAAGAAAGATCGAACGGGAGACGAGCTACCTCCGCGCGCCGGGGGACCCGAACGGCAAGCAGGCCCTGCCGGAGCAGCCTCTGCCGGCGACATGGGGCATGAATGTCTGTGACGGGTACGGGTTCGTGGAGTACTACCTGGAGGCGGAGATACTGGTCGAGGGGAAGAAGATGGAGGCCATCGAGGCGACACTGCCTGTGCGGGTGTTGTCGCGGCCGGCGCCGGCGTTACTCACGGATTTTGATCTGCGGGGCACGACGACGGCAGGGTGCGTGACGAGCCATCGGCTCGCGCCGGGGATGGAGCACGCGGAGCTGACGTTCAATCAGAAGAGGCAGATGTTCCTCGGTTCGAAGAGGGTGCCGGCGTGGCATTTCAACCTGCGGGTGGAGTGTGCCTCCGTCATCCAACTGGGCAACCCTGCCTCTATCCCATTTCGGTTGAAGGTCACCCCAGACCGGGCAAAGAGCTCCGAGATTCTGCAAAATGTCCCGCAGAAAGTATATTTGACGAACGCGGTGATCAGCTTGATTAGTACAGGGCGTGTATCATGCCCGGGTTCGGGAGAAGTGCATGAGGGAACCAGCACAACGACGTTACCCCTCGGCCGAACGATCGCGAGCGAGACTGGGTCGCCCTTGATTCCGTCAGCCGCGGGGGAGAGTGCGTTGGATCTGGGCGCGCTCTTGGATGCGTCTGCGGACCCGGAGCTGCACGAGCAAAGACGTCATTATCCATTAAAGCCGGACTACACGACATACTGCTTTTCGCTTTCGCACACTTTGAAGTGGGAGTTGCACCTTGTCATTGCGGGAGAGTCATGGGAGTGCACCGGGTCTCAGAAGGTTGTTGTGCTGCCGGCGGCTGAGGTGGCGGCAATTGCAGAGGGAGCGGAGGAGCCTCCGGCGTATGATGGGCCGAGCGGATCGGCGCCGGCTTACGAAAATGTTGTTGGCGATGCCCGAGCGGGACGGTTGCCGTCGGCTGGAGGGGAGAAATCATAGGGATCAAGTGCGACGGGCCGTGTAGGTGATGGGTTATGATACCAAGAATGAGCATCAAATCATGCCATGGGACTTTGATTACATAGCAATCGGTTTACAACGTTTCGGTGTGAAGAGTTTGTCTGGAATCTTTTCAAATAAATTGCCCGGGGCAAGGCGGCGGCGGGCGGCAACTTTCGGGCTTTCGCTCCGGGGTTTCGACGCAGGTGGCTGAAGGGTCCACAGTGTCTGGTAGGCGCTGAACACAGCTGAAATAAGGTAGCACAGAGATGGAACCTAACATTCCGGTGGGTCTATGAAACCTGTCAAATGGAACCTCACACGGGCCCGACTCTAAAGCCCCCGGGGCGCTACATGAGGTCTCCCGTCGGGCATGTGCACCGATGTACTCACCTTCACTGTATCCACCGCCGACTACAGCGCCGTCGTCCGGCGTCCGCGACGGCAAAGTCCCGACGCGAGTCCTGCCCCCAACCCGGACTTTCGTCCATCCAGCTACCCGCCACAGCGGAAGAAAGCAGTCACAACGTCCCGTAAGTCATGCCTGGCTCTGAACAAGTATCACAGTGTCTGATGATCACCAGATCTCATATCCCGTCCTCAACTCGGTGCTTCCCCAGCGCCCAGATTCATCGACCGACGACGTGATTGAGGCCGTCCTTAGGGACCAGCAAGCGACCCCAGATGTCGATGACCGCCTCGGCTTTTTGCAGGCGAACGTCAACAAGAACTGGGATCGCGTCAATGACCTCTTTGAGCATGTCAAGTCGTTGGACCGCGCCCCTGCCTTCATTGCCATCCAGGACCCTCCCTACGACTTTGCCACGGATTCGAAGAGAGAACGCGCCGGCTATTGGTGTGAGGCTCAACATGGCTGGCCGAAACTCAATTCCAAGGACGAGGTGGAGATGGAGAACAACGTGCCAGTGCTAGCGTCGAGCCGCGTTGCCTTCTATGTGCACAATCCTTTGGCTTTGACGTCATGGTCCGTCGAGTGGGACAGAGGTGCCAACGAACACTATGTTGCGTCTCTATCCCTCGACTTGGTCGGCGGCGACAGGATCAAAGTCTTCAACGCGTACAACCGCACCCGCAACACGATCGCATTCAACCTTCTCCTTCGCGAAGCTGTCGCCGACTATTGCATTCTTTTGGGCGACTTCAATCTTCGTCATCGGGCCTGGAGCGACCGACACCTTTTTGATAGGGCCACAAAGCAGCTGGAGATCGAGACTCGACTTGCCGGAATGCGTTGTCTTCTGAAGCCAAAGGACTTCACGTTCAAGCGAGGGGAGACGCAGACTACCATCGACCTGGTTTTTCTCAGTGAAAGGCTCAAGGACCTTTGCGAGCTTTTTCACGTCACGAGGCCGCGTGGTTTTACCACGGACCACGCAGTACTCGAGACAGTCCTCAACGTGTCGCCCGATCGGGATCACACCCCGGTCCTCCAGATTGACAAGGCAGACCCCGACGTCGTCCGGTCAGAGATGGCCACTCGTCTCCTTGCCAAATTCGGCGATCCATCTCACCTGCGTCAGCATCAACTGTCCACCACCGACAAGCTCGACCAGTTCGCCAAAGCCTTTGTTGTGTCCGCCAAGGCCGCGATCGATGCCTCCATTCCCACCATCATCCGCAAACCCGTTGGCCAGAAGCCTCCAGTGCGAACACGCGTGGTCCAAGAGAGACTCTTGCGCGAGGAACACGCACTTCGCGTCCTTTACCGGCAGAAAAGGGGGACTCAAGCCCACAACTACGCCTATGCGGTATGGCTGGACGCCGTCAAGCAGACCAACCGTTTTATGCGCATCGCCAGCAACGTCAGGAAGCGTACCCGAAGCGCTCAGCAAGCCAAAGACCTCTCAAGCCTTTTTGCTATGGCAAGATCGGCTCGCTTCTACGGCAAGATCAGGGCCTCGCCTCACATGCCATGGCTCAAGAAGCCTGACGGCACAGCCTGCGCAAGCTCCGAGGAGAACGCTCGCTGTTTTCGCGACGCGATGTGGTCCGACACAAGCGAAGAGCGCCTGGCTCCTACGGAGTTGCCACCTACTCTAGTGCGATCTCGTGCTTCAGCTGCATCAGGCCACGCTCTGTCGACTCCTTCACGGAAAAAGTCAAAGCCGAAGAAGAAGAAGACCCGAAAGGATAAGGAGACTACAGTCTGTCCACCTGGGCAAGACGGTTCTTCGTCTACAGAACCTCCAGCTGATATTGCGCCCAGCTCTGGTTCCCCCACATCCAGCGTCGCTACCTCCACTTCCTCTGATGGCTCTATACCAGCATTGGCATCAACAACATCCATATGTTCCGTCCGCACATCGCCTGGCTCACTCAGTTCGTGCAGTCATCCTGTGACTCAGCCATCCGGCCCTATCGCTTCGGCCGAGCAGACTAGTTTGTCTAGTCCGCCAACAATACCCTCCGCTACTTGCACGGCCTCATCGAGCCCATCTGCCGCCAGTCAGCCTGCCCTAGTTGCCGCTGCTGGCCCTGGCTCATCGAGCCCATCTGCCGCCAGTCAGCCTGCCCTAGTTGCCGCTGCTGGCCCTGGCTCTCCGAGCCCATCTCCCGCCAGTCAGCCTTGTTCGGCTACAATACCGGAATCCATCAGATCGTCCCCATCATTCAGTGCTATTGGATCACGGCCTGGATCATGCGATGGAACCCGCAACGGCGCCCGCCCTCTTGGTTCTCGCCATCCTTTGTCAACCACGCGTTCGAAGTCTCGGTCAAGGTCTCCATCTAGGACTGACGAGATATCGAGCAGCAACGAGGCAGGATCGTCAAGAGCGGTCAACGATTCTACTAACACTCAATCACCTGAGCCTGCATCTCTGGCTGGCCTCCTTGGTGATACTGTCTTGGGTAGAAAGCCGGACCGTAACAATAGCTTCCAGAAAGCCGCCTTGTTACGCGCATTGGCAAAAGAAGGACCCCCAAAGGTTGATGAAGATACGGTGTCCCGTATCATTCGGAAGCTTCCCAGCCGCAAGGCAGCTGGCCCAGACGGTGTTCCAAGTGACGTCCTCAAGATGACACTGGACGTCATTTTGCCCTACCTCGTTCATCTCTTCAAGGCTTGTGTCAACCTCAACCACCACCCCGAATGCTTCAAGGAGTCCTACACTGTGGTCTTGAAGAAGGAAGGAAAGGACAACTACACCTTACCGAAGAGTTATCGGCCTATCGCCCTCCTTTCTTGTGTGGGTAAGGCTCTGGAGCGATTGGTTGCGGACGATCTTCAACGCCTCGCACTCAAATACGGCCTCATTCCTCCCACGCAGTATGGGTTTGCTGGGAAGAGTTGTACCAAGGCACTAGAGCTGATCGTCAACACCGTCCTCAATGGCTGGTGCGCGACTACAACGGACAAGAATTGGCGGACTACTCTCTTAGGTCTCGACATTTCAGGTGCCTTCAACCACGTCAACCGTCAGGAATTGATCAAGGTTTTCGCCGAAAAGGGCATACCGCTGTGGGCTTTGCGATTTGTGTGGTCATTCTTGTCGGACCAATGCACTTGTGTCAAGCTTCCAGGACACACCTCGGCAAAGTTTTGGGTCAATGTTGGGATTCCCCAGGGAAGCCCCCTCTCGCCCATCCTTTTTGCGTTATTTGCCGCTCCCATCCTGGATATCCTGCAGCGCCAGAATCTGGGCCGGAGCCAAATCCTTCTTGGCCTTTCTTACGTCGACGACACCTACATCATGGTGTGCACCGATGACTGGGAAAAGAACTGTCGCATTTTGGAGGAGTGTCACCAGAAGATTGTGGACTGGGCTACTCCTCGTGGTCTCCGCTTCGATCCTGCGAAGTACAACGTCATGCACTTTCGCAAGCCCCACGGCGATTTGAACGCAGCGTCTGCGCCCCAGAATATCCCCAACCTACCATTTCTGACGGAGGAAAACCTGGTGAAAGAGACGGACGAAGGTGGCCTTCGTATTCTTGGCGTTCAGGTCGACCATCAGTTGACTTGGAAATGGCAAATCGACCAGGTAAGTTTCCCTTCATGACCACTTGAGATCTTCTAACAATTACAAACAGATTGAGGAGAAGGTCCGCAAGAAGCTGAACCAGCTGAAGCGCATGTCGACATCTGTCTCGGGGCCGAATATCCTTCACATGAGGCAGCTGTACCTCTCTACCATCCGTCCCATCATCTCCTATGCCTGCCCTGCCTGGTTCATGCTTGGCAACGACTCCTCCACGACCTACAATCTTCGACAACCCTACATCCATCGCCTGGACAATCTTCAGAACGAATGCTTGGTCACTGTCGCCGGTGCCTACAAGAAGGCGCCCACCGTCCCGCTCCACAAGGAGCTTCACGTTGACCCAATCGCCGTCTACTTGCAGCGAGTCGCCATGTCACACCGCGCCCGCAATATTTTCACCGATGACTACGACCTCATCAACACCACTTCGTTCCCATTCAAGAGAGAAATGACCTTCTTGAAGTCCCATCCATACAAGATCGATTACGACCACGCCCGGGAACTCGTCGAGGAGGCGGAGCAGCAGCTTCGGGGGTCGAAGCCTGGCCTCGCCGACGCCACTCTGATTGACATGGATCCTCGCAAGAGGAGTCAAGTCATCAACCGGTACATCCGCGCGCAAGCGACGCTCCTCAGTGAGCATCTTTGGAAGGCATATCGCGACCGTCCACGACCGTCTCGCACGGTCGCCTACGGCCTCAGTGGCCGCCCTGTTGCCGCTGAGGGAAAATGGGGCGCTTTCAACCTCAAGCGGTACAAGGGCCTGTCTCGGGCGCAGTCCTCCATTCTGATCCAGTGCAGGACTGGCTACATTGGCCTCAATGCCTTCCTGCACCCGAAGAACGTAAGTTCAATGCCACATCCACATTCGTCATTACCCTTCCACACTGTTAGGCATCTGGTCCTCTCAGCCTACGTACCTTTCACTTTGCACCGACTTTGCGTTCTTTTTCATCCATGACCACCGGTTGCTAACTTCTCCGTTCCAGCTTGCCGACACAAACATGTGTTCTTGCGGTCAAGATGAGCACACTGTTGAACATCTCATCTTCGACTGCCCCTCTCTAGCCAGTGCTAGAAAGAATCTTCCCATTTGGAAGTGGAGAATTTCTCGGTATCACGCTCACGCCAGGCAGCAACGCTCCCTGGATGATTTGCTCACCGACTTCTCCCATGCGGTCTCGACCTGGGCCATTCACCACTTTGGTCTTGACCAGTTTGCTTGGACGGACCAACACATGATTCACGGACCGTCCAAGAAACACTCGCACTTTCACTGTGAAGTGACATAGTGTATTAAAGTGTACTTTTTGGGTGTGTCTCCTCTTTCTTGCCTCCACGCTATGATGCTGACGTGTTCTCGTTCAAGAAACTCTGCCAGCACGCAGGCTACCCTTGCAACCACCCCCCTTCCCTTCTCCCTTCCCTTCCCCCTTCGCTTCTCGTGAGTACCTTGTCAACCTTTCGGTGCAATCTGCAAGCCATGCTGACTTGAGTTGGCTCCCCAGTCGGCTTCAATAGTCGGGGAGGATCACGGCGATCGCCGCGATTACCTCATTTTTGTATTCTTCGAAGTGAGTTGTCTTCTTCTACCTGTCAGACCAAAGAGCTAACGCTTCAACAAGTTTATCCAGCTCGTCGAGCTCATCCTGAACCTCTTCCATCTTCTCGTTGCGTCTGAGCTTCCTGTGGAGATTCTTCCACTCCTGTTTGTGGGCATCGATGCTTTTAACGTCGCCAGATTTGGAGAGGAGGCATGCGGCGATTCGGCAGATAAGTATGTTGATTCTAAGACGCAGTAATGTAATTGGCCTGCCTAATACTAACTGAATTGATTTAGATATTTGGTGGTGATATTTATCCCTAGACTTATCTAGGGACCTAATATCAGGGCTTATGTTGTTGATATCGTTTCGGAGCTCTCGTTTATGCTTTTTCGCAAGAGCGATGAAGTCGACCTTCTGTTTCGTTTTCCAGTTTGTTGATGTAAGTAACCTGTTCGTTCCCCTCTAATATGTCGCAAATTACTAATGTTTTCTTCAGTTGGTGACGAGCATTTTAACGAGTTTAATCATGATGAGTTGATCTTGTCAGGGATGGTTGATGGGTAGAGGAAGGTATGATGTTTGCGCTTTCTAGTCACTGGATCTCAGACAGCTAACCTAACCCGAAGAACAGACCCATGTTCTTCCTCCTATATAATCTCATACAGTGAGTCATCTGCAGGCCATTGAGGTTATTGACAATGTAAGACTCTCCCTTTTCTCTCGTGTACATGCGCTAACATTCGAAGATTCTTGCGAACCTGGATCGAAGCTTTCCTGGTTATCATAAACAGCATCACGATGCATAGTAGGCATCTATCAAAGTATAAACAGAATTTTCATAGTGTGGCGTAAACCTCCACAAATTGGATGTGGCTGGGCTCAAAGGGTAGAAGATGAAAATATGACTACTACATAACCTACTCTGAAGTTTCCCTAATGGTTATGACGTAAGTGACAGGAGTTGAGAGGAGAGGATTCTGTCTCTGTCCCAATGCCAAAGTTTGAGGGTGTCCCAAAAGGTCCTCATCGCCCTTTGCGTGGGGTCTGACTCATGTCGGTAGGCCAGAGTTTGGGCGAAGCTGGTGGCCTTTTCTGCCCTCCTTATCGGTCAGGCAGACATGCACGGGGTACAAATAAGTAGCATGCCATCTGCACTCAGTTCATCTGTCACCCATCTCATCGGGGAGCTCTCATCCTCCTTGCCGGCCCCGTCGCATCACAATGACCCCCCAACCCCGGTTTCTTTCTCTTCCTCGCGAGATTCGAGACATTATCTACAAGTTTTACGTAGTTGCAGAAGGCGGATACACCTGCAACCCCGAAAAGCTTGTGGAAAGAATACTGAACCAGCACAGCGATGAAACCGACTCCGCCAGTCTCGATGTCTCTGGCATATTGCAGAGAGCTGATCTTCAGCCCATCGATCTGAACCTGAGCTACACTTGCAAGCTTGTGGCGCAAGAAATAAGCGGTGTCGCCCTACGAACCAACACAGTCACTTTCTCGACATTCACTTCGGCTGACCTTCGCATCCTCGCCGCCCGTTTTCACAGCCTGATGGTGGGACGCTTCGACGGCGACCGAAGGGGATTGCTGAAGTTCGCTGGTCACGCTATTTCAGCCGAGGCATGTCGGCAGCTTAAGGTCAAATTCCCTCAATTCAGCCAGCTTCTTGATCGAATGATGCGACAAGGCGGAGCGCATCACATGTGGGGGACGTATGGCGAGGTGCCCTCGGTCTACCGTGCTTTCCAGAAAGACGCACTCTTGGCCATCGCTCGATCTGAAACCGGCCGTAAACGGCTTGATCGTTACTGGTATGAGAAGCACGAGAGGTGGGCTCCCCACATACCTTCGCTTCTCGTGGTCCGCTGCAATATCGAGCACTGGGCTATCCCGTCCATGCAAGACATGCAGTATTTGAGTTCCTGTCAGATGAAAGATTCAGACTTTGTGTCAAGGGTCACCCGCCTCCGGGACCGTACAAATTACCGCTTCTCGGCCGCAGCAGCTGCAATTCACGTTCTGCAGTCTCTGCCTCCTACCATACGCAAGCAACTGCGCCGCGTGGTCTTGGAAGAAGATCGGGAAGCGGTGGCGGATCCACAGTGTCACGCATTGGGGTTGATTCCGTTGTGCCAAGAGAACCCTCTGCTTCGCGTGGAACGCCGCGTCAACTTGTGGAGGAATGCATTCCAGCGCGACGGATATTATCGTTGGTCCCCGGAGTCGCGATACAAAGCCAAGTACCGTCACGTGTCCTGGGCTATGGATTCAAACCGTGAAACGCTCTGGGCTATGGATTCGGCGCAGGTCACGGCGAACGTCTCCAGCTGGGTTGGAGAAGCCTTGGCCCTCGAACCCGCAGGCATGCCTCCAGGGGCATTCTCGCTGGTTTTGGATGGCGAACCCGTTCCCTGGCAAAGCACGCAAGTTTTCCAACGGATTGTCCAGCGAGATGCGGCTTGGCAGGAAGCATGGAATCAATCCCTCGACCGTGGTATTCTTCCAGCCTTGTCATGGTTTGACAGGAAAGGAGAGTCATGGGGTCACCATGCGCCTGACTGGGCCTTCGACAACTGGCCGCAAGCTCTGCGAGATATCGCAGAGGGCACCTCCGTCGTGAAATGCAACTTCGACGTCGGAGATCCGTGGAGCGTTGAGCAGATTGTCGACGAACACCGGGGATGGACGATGAATCAGTGGACGGAGGAGCTGGAAAAGCCCGAACCGCTGGCCTGGGAGCCCGATGCCCCGTTGCCCGGCTGGAAGGAAATCATAGAGGAGGACCTCGTTTACGTGAAGCCCGAGGATGATGTGTCGTCTGTAGACTCCGAAGACGACTGGCTCGGTGAGGATGATGACTGAGAAGGATTTGCAAGTTGGTTCCAGCTCTATGAATGCCACCTGACGGATTCCTTGTTCTCATGATTCGGTAGCTAATTCATCTCAGGACTACAGACAATGGATGCTGATGTATAAATGTCTATCTGAAGTTCAACTGCGCCCACTAATACGGGCTAAGCCATCCATCTCTCCCCCTACCAGTTCGCCACTTTCTCATCAGACCAGTACTCTCCAGTCTTTCCTCCGATATCCGCCAGAGCAAGGTGGACAGGCGTTTGCGCGCCTTGATCAGGCGTCTTGGTTCCCTTACCTCTCGTCATGGATGTCACCACCCATCCCGGATGACACGAGTTGGCCAAAATCTTGCTGCCGCTGTCCTCCAGCTCCTTCGCAATCGCCCTCGTCATCCCGATCTCGCCGGCCTTGGACACGGCGTACGCCGCGCTCGGCCACCCTTCCTGCTCATGATTGCCCTTCTCCACGGCGGCGGAGAAGTCCTCCATCAACCTAGTGACATCCGACACCGTCTGCGAAGCCAGGAAGCGCTCCTTAATCTGGGGAGAGTACTTGCTCAGGGCCCCGGCCACGGACGCGACGTTGATGATCCGGCCTTGGGGCTTGAGGATGGGGACCCAGGCTCGTGTTGCGTTGAGGGTGCCGTAGTAGTTGCAGCCTATCGTGGTCTTGACCACGTTTGAGTCTAGATGTCATTAGTTAGCCGGGGGGGTTTTAGATATGTGCCTGAGAGGGACCACTCACCGAAACCCTGCATCGCGATGCCGGCGTTGTTGATGACGAAGTCGATGCCGTCGGGATGCTCCTTCTTCAAGAACTCCGCCAAGCCCTCGATGCTCTTGGCATCTGAGATGTCTAGCTGGTGATACTTGATATCAGCGAGGCCGCCGTGCGTGGCCAGGGCTTTGGCTTGCTTAAGGTCCGCATCAGCGCGGATGGCAGCCAAAGCGTCCTCGCCGCGAGATTTGTCGCGGGCCGTCAGGTAGATGAGCAGAGACCCGTTGTTCAAGTGCGATGCTGGGTATTGCAGTGCCAATTGTCGTACTTGTTCGCAGTTGGGAAGAGTCAGTTGGGCGATGACGTGATGGACATCAAATAGCTTCCATTGGGGGTAGCTCACCAATCGCGTACCCAATGCCCTTGTTTGCACCGGTAACCACGCCGACACGAGCGTAAGTCATGTTGAGTTGAAGGAGGGATTGTAAGTCTTGATGGATAGTGTTTTGGTGAAATTCGTGATTCTTGATGGCTTCATTCACAGGAACAGACACTGGTGTTTTGGACCTCGATGTCGGAATGGGACCAAGCGCAGCAGGCAAGCGAGCACTCCAGTGGACCCGAACCAGTGGTGATTCATTGTGGCGGGTGCCACAGTGGCTTGAGCCTCACTACACGGGTGGCGCCGTCCCAGGATGGTTCGTCTCTTATTCTTTCTCATTTACGACTTACCTCATCATATTCCACAGCATTGCAATTCGGAGTTTGTGTGATTTACGAATTCAGCGGTGTGTAATTGGCACGCTATGTAAGCGGATGCAATGACTACGCCCCATCCACGGCCCGACACCGATTGACCCCTTGTTCGGTCGGGCAAACGCCCCGGTGGAAGCCACAGAAACTCAATTGCGCCGGCTTCTTGGGCGCCTAGCCGCGGAATAACAACCTAATGGTTCTGGACCAAACAACATGTAGTGACACTGAAGAGGAAGCTGCATTTGATTCTGCCGCGTTCTTCGCACCGATCACCAATTACCGAGCCAGACTCTGTCAGCGATGGAGTCACCCAACGTTCACTGCCCAATAAGACTCGCTGCCGGGGGAACAGCGAGGATATCGCTTGTAGATAGCGTGACGTAGAGGCGATTGTGACTTGGGTCCGCCATTGGCCTCAACTCTCCGCCAAGGTGCCAAGAGCCGCAATCAAAAACCTACGGTAACGCAATTGGGGAATAGGAATGGGATTCCTGGTTACGAGCAACGCGAATCCCCCGTCATTTCAGCAGTGCAGCTGACCTGACAAGCTGACAATGCTTGGATGCCTCGCCGCTGAGAGAAAAATGGTCGGAGGAACAGAATCGACAGAAAACACGCCCCCCGCGAACAGCCAAGGCCGCACATGGCCGTCTTGTCCCGGACGCCGCATTCCTTGTCTCTCTACCCGGGGAAAAGCTTCGCTTGCTTGGCCACAGCATCATCTGTTCTCTAACCAGATAACAGGGAATGGGGTCCAATACAGAAAGCAACTAGGATACAGTATGTGGTCCAAATAACCGGACATGCCACCCATGCGGCGACGGCAGCTGCAGCGGCGCCTTCACCCGCACGAAGCACGCAATCCGTAAATGAAGCCTCCCGTTGGCTGTATCGTCTCGTCGTTCTGCATCGGCTGTCCCATCCAACTGGACTTCGAATTGGCGCGTCTCACCGCGTGGTGTCGCATTGTGGTATGCACCGGCTACACCGATGCGCCGGAACGCCTCGACGAATAAGCTGCTGCCAGTCGTGAGACTATTATGGCTATGTTGGATTGAGACTCTTTGCCCGTGGCTGTCACTGCGACATGGTATCTCGCCCGAACGAAGCAGGCAGCGAATGGGCATTGGCTGATTGCGTTTCTGTTTCCCCATGGTCCGCTTTTGACGTCTGCGGCCAAAACAGCACCAACAGAAGCATGCGCTGCAACGAACTCCCATCCCCTGCTCGAGAGAGCTCCCAACAAGACTCGTTATCTGCCTCGCTATCTTTCTCCTTCGGCGCCCCATGTCGTCACTCACCAGAAGCGCTCGCGTCACAACGCAGTGGGAAACCCTGGGTTGTTTCCCGACACTGGCGGCGAGGAGATGCAGAGTTCGAGTGTTGGGAATAATTCGGCGCAAAACTTTGACGCAACGGGCCTGGACCCTGCGAGGTTTAAATCGACATGTGCTCGGGCTGCTGTCTGCAACCTGCCTAGCCCCGAGGAGAAATCGTACGGCTCGCTGATCCGCAGACAAGAGACTCTCCTGCAGCCATTCACAGAGCATGGGTTCCTCCTCGTCCCCTCCCCGTCCTCTGCTCCCCCAGTCGTGCGCCGCCTGTGTGCCCTTACCGTGTCGAGGATGGTTCGCAATTGGGGAACCCGCTTCCTTGCAGCTTCACCATGTCTCCCCTCCCCCTCCCCCCACTATCCCGCCTTTGTGTACGTTGCGACGCTGCGGTGCTCTGGTCCCTGATCTCTGGGAATTTTCGGTGCTTTTCTTAAAAGGGATCTGCAGTCCCCCGTATCGCTGCACAGGTTTAGCTTGGCTCTCTCGTCCTTCTTCCTGCTCAATTGCTCTCTCGGTCAACTCTCTGTGCTGCAGGTATCTTCTCCAGGCGAACACCAACAGGCGTCGCTAGCGTTTCCGCGCAAAGCCACATGGAATTCAAAGTCCAGTTCTTCTGTCTCCTCCTCAAAGCCATTCGGTAATTGAAGCGCGCGTTTCGTGGCTTCACGAAGGCTGTTCACTACCCCAACTACCCGTCTACTACTCGAACTACAGAAAACTTCCATCGACCAATTGAGTAGCGCATCCTCCACGCCGACCGAACCGGCCCCGATCCCCACATCTCCGATCATGTCGTCTACGGGCATTGACCGCGCGGGGGACCGCGACAATCTGCCCGGCTACGGCTACGCCGACCACGACCGCCATGTTGACGAGAAAACCGTCGGAGAGCCTTACGGCGAGCCGTTTGACGGCGGCTTCCGCTCTTCGCTCGACTCCGGAAACAAGCAGGATCACACGCATCGCAAATTGAAATCTAGGCACATTCAGCTGATTGGAATCGGAGGCACCATCGGTACGTCTCCACATCCCCGACCGAACTGCACGATCTCAAGACTGACATGTCACAAATAGGTACCGCTCTCTATGTACGTTGAAATGTCTGGCTCCTCCAACCCCATCACCCAATCTCACATGCCTCGTTCAGGTCCAAATTGGCAGAGGCCTGCTCAACGGCGGGCCCGCAAGCCTGTTCCTCGCTTTCAGCATCTGGTGCACCTTCATCCTGGCCGTGACCCTCAGCATGGCCGAAATGGTCACCTACCTCCCCATCTCCAGCCCCTTCATCCGCTTCGCAGGCCGCTACGTCGACGAGGCCTTCGGCTTCGCCGCCGGCTGGAACTTCTTCGTCTTCGAAGCCGCGCTCGTCCCCTTCGAAGTCGTCGCCTGCAACCTCATCATCCACTTCTGGAGCGACGCCGTCCCCGCGGGCGGCATCATCGCCATCATCCTCGTCCTCTACGGCCTCATCAACGTCATGGCCGTCCAGTGGTACGGCGAGACCGAGTTCTGGGCCGCCCTCGGCAAGTTCCTCCTCATCGTCGGCCTCATCATCTTCACCTTCATCGTCATGCTCGGCGGCAACCCCCTCGGCGACCGCTTCGGCTTCCGCTACTGGAACGACCCCGGCGCCTTCGCCGAGCTCTACTACTCCGGCAGCCTCGGCCGCTTCCTCGGCTTCCTGCAGTGCCTCATCCAGGCCTCCTTCACCATCGCCGGGCCCGACTACGTCGCCATGGCCGCCGGCGAGGCCGAGAACCCGCGCAAGGTCATGCCCCGCGCCTTCAACGCCGTCTTCTACCGCCTCACCGCCTTCTTCGTCCTCGGCTCCCTCTGCGTCGGCATCCTCGTGCCCTACAACGACCCCGAGATGACCGCCGCCTTCAAGGACGGCCAGCCCGGCGCCGCCGCCTCGCCCTACGTCGTCGCCATGAACCGCCTCAAGATCGGCGTCCTCCCGCACATCGTCAACGCCATGGTCCTCACCGCGGCCTTCTCCGCGGGCAACTCGTACGTCTACTGCGCCTCGCGCTCGCTGTACGGCCTCGCGCTCGAGGGCAAGGCGCCCGCCCTGTTCAAGAAGTGCACCAAGAAGGGCGTGCCGGTGTACTGCGTCATCGCCGTGCTGCTCATTGGATTGTTGAGCTTCCTCCAGCTGAGCAACAACACGGCCGTCGTGCTGGACTGGTTCGTGAGTCT